GTTCAGCAGAGTCCATTCTCTAAGGAATCGTCTGATCTTATTACAATTCTACTTAGTTCAGGAAATATAAATTCAAATTCCTATAATGCAGAGTTTGTACCTTTGCACCTGAGTTCTTTTAGAAGACGAAGACCCAGAAGTTGGAAGGGTGGTCTGCCATCTTGATGACGTCCTGATCCACGATCCTATCGAGGATCACAGTAATCATCTGCACAAAGTACTTTGTATGCTTCAAGAAAGCAGACTTGCTCTGCATGTCAGAAAAAATGAATTTGTAGGAGACAATACTCACTTTATGGGCAAGTAATCATTGGTTGGTTGAATCCCAATGAGAGCAAGATAGATGTCATCCACAGAATATCTGAGCTTGCCACCTAGATTCATAGATTGTAAGGCTGGAAGGGACCTCAGAAGATGATCGGGTCCAGCCCCTGCACCAAGCAGGAAAGACAACTGGGGTCAGGAGACCCCAGCAAGGTGCCCATCCAGTCTCCTCTTCAAGATTTCCAGGATAGACAATTGTACCACCTCTGGAGGGAATATATTTTACAGTCTGGCCACCCTAGTTGTGAAGTAGCTTTTCCTAATGTTGAGACTGAAATGGACTTCCAGGAGTTTGTGACCATTATTCCTAGTTTTTCCCAAAGGTGCCCTGGTGAACAGTTGTTCAATGAGCCCTTGATGTACGCCTCTGATGTAGTCGTAAGATGCTACCAAGTCCCTTCTCAGCCTTCTCTTTTTTAGGCTGAAGAGTCCCATGTCCCTCAGCCTTTCCTCATATGGTTTGCCACACAAGTTTCTGATCATATGAATGGCCTGTCTCTGGATTCTCTCAAGCTTTACCACATCCTTGTTAAAGCGTGGCACCCAGAACTGCATGCAGTACTCCAGCTGTGGTCTCACCAAGGCCAAGTAGAGTGGGAGAATCACTTCTTTGATTTTGCTGGAGATGCATTGATTGATGCATGCCAGGGTATTTTTGGCCCTGCTGGCTACAGCGTCGCACAGCCAACTCATAATCATACTGCGCTCTATTATTACCCCCAGGTCCCTTTCATTTGTAGTGCTCATCAGGTTGGCATTGCCAAGCCTGTAGGTGTGCGGGGGACTGTCTGTCCTCAGGTGGAGCACTTTACATTTCTCAATGTTGAACTTCATCTGGTTCCGGTTCACCCAACTTGCAAGCCTGTCTAGGTCTGCCTGTATCTGCGACCTATCTTCAAGTGTGACCACACTTCCCCATAACTTGGTGTTGTCCATGAACTTGGCCAGTGAGATCTTGACCCCCACATCCAAATCACTGATAAAGATGTTGAATAGCACTGGACTGAGCACCGTCTCCTGTGGCACACCACTGGCCAATTCCCGCCAAGATGGCACAGATCCATTCATTATAACTCTCTGGGTCCTGCCCCACAGCCAGTTTCCTACTCACCTGATTGTCTCACAGTTAAACCCACAGTCTTCCAATTTTCTCACAAGAACATAATGGGATACCAGATCAAAAGTGTTTTGGAAGTTGAGGTATATAATGTCAACCTCCTCTCTCTCATCAAGGTGGTGAGTCACCTGATTGTGAAAGGAGATGAGGTTGGTAAGACAAGACCTGCCCACAATGAAGCCATGCTGGCTGTCATTCAGAATCCTACCTTCTGCAAGCCTATTGCACAGAGTCCTTAATGAATTTTTCCAGGATTTTCCCTGGGATAGAAGTTAGATGCACTGGCCTATAGTTACCCAGGTCCTCCCTCCTCCCCTTCTTGAAGATGGGCACAAAATTGGCCCTGTTGCAATCCTCGGGGACCTCCCCAGAGGGCCATGAGATTTGGAAGAGCTTCAACAGGGGCTCTGCAATGACTTCAGCCAGCTCCTTAAGCACTCTCAGATGAAGTTCATCCGGACCAGCTGACTCATATATGTCCAATTTCTTTAACTGATCACACACCAGTTCTAGGGCAATAGTAAGAAGGCAGTCATTTGAACCCTGCTCATTCTGTACCCTAGCAGGCGTCAGTTGTTGAGCAATGGCCCCACACTCCATTCATTTTCCTCCTATTCCTTATGTACCTAAAGAAGGACTTCTTGTTGTCCTTGATTCCCATTGCTAATTTTAGTTTAGTCGCCTCACCTCACTGAGCTACAGTATGATTTGGATAGGGTCAACTGCTTAGGCGAATTTATCCTCAGAGGGGCTGAAATTTCTACTCTCTGTAAATTTACTTCACTCTAACACAGAGTAGATTTGGGGCATGAATAAAGAATCTCAGTGACATCAAGAAAATCTGCTGTCAGTTTCCAGTCTGGCTCAAGCAAGCCAATATCATCTTGACTAATATGTCATCTTATGGATTGAGAGCTATTCATCAAAAACAGGACTTTATCAAGATGTGAGCAATGGGTTAAATTCTGTTTAACTTCAAGTTCCCTAAGTGGTACTTATATAAACTGTGTAACACCAATTTTTGGTACTTATTATTTGGTACATACTAGTGGCATGACAGAAGAGGATTGCTCCATGTGCATCTCTGCTGGAAGTAAAATAGAGAAGGACCATTGCACTTCATCTTGAGGGTATTCCACCACATCTTACATTTCAATAAAATGAATAAACATCATTGGAATAGTTTCCACTCCAGTGGAGACAAGGTGCCAAACTAGAACCTAGAGCTACCCTTCTTCCACAGCACTGTTCCATTTCACTGAGCATACTGGTTTGCTCTCTTGCTATATATATCTTCCTCTTCTAACTGCAAGTGTTCCAGTTTCAACTAG